AGGAGAGGGAGGGAGGACCCAAACAGGCTTGGATTAGAGATATCAAAACTGATATGCGTCCTCTTGGTTGGACGAGAGTATGACATTGTAGATAGCAAAGTGGAGGATGCATATTCGTGTGCACGATTGATATCTTTTCTATCTTTCCACTCTCTTTTTTTTATTTTGTTTCTCTTCTTTATATCTTTATGTTTCTATGTTATTTTTATCTTCTAACCATTTTATGTTCTTTTATCTTTCCTATATTCTTACGAGCATCTCCAATGCTACAACGTGCACGGTGCACATGTGGCACGAGAGATAGCCACATAAATATTAGTAAATAAATTATTTCTCTCATTATTTGAATGACTTTATACAATTTTGATAAGTTTTTCTCCACAATGTCAACGAGACCGTCTAGATGTAGATATTGTAGTTGACATTGCAGAGAAAAACTTATCAAACTTGTATAGAATCATTTAAATAAGGAGAGATATAATTTATGTTCTAAAATTCATTTGACTATTTCTCATGCCACATGTGCACCGTGCACATTGCAGCATTGGAGATGCTCTAAGACTTGAATTATCTTTTAAGACTTGGATGTTCTGACCGATCCAAAAAATCTGGCCCAGTTTATACCCGAGGCCCCAAACCCAAAAACCTTCTTCTTCTTCTTCTTCCTTCAGCCCCTGAGACGCAGAGTCCGCCAGTCCGCCGCTTGTCTTGTCAGCCGTCTCCCTCTGTCCGCCGCCGCTTGCGTCGCGCCGTAACTCCCGGGTCACTCTCTTAACTGTTCACCTCGTCAGCTGGCGTCGTCCACATTCCAAGACTTCCATTCTGCCCAGTCGCCTGCTCTTCCCTGCTCCACAGCCTCCTAAACTTAGTTCATAACTAACCACCCAACTTTCTTCCTGGGCTACTCCTGGCTACGCCCCTGTTCTCTTGTGTTTCTTGAAGCTCAGAAGTTGAGTAGAAGAGATGGGGCCAAGAAAGTGTGGAGTTTGCCATGAATCTCAGTCAAAATACAAATGCCCCAACTGCGTTATACCCTAGTAAGCTTGTTTGCCTTTCATCTTTATTTGAGAAAGATCATTGGATGAATAACTGAAAAAGATCATTTTTTTTTTCAAATCTTGCAGTTGTTCATTGTCATGCTTTAAGAAACACAAAGGTTCGTTCTTGGACTTCCTATTACATAAAGACTCATTATTATTTTGGGTTTCTTGATGTTTTTCTTTATTTATTATGAAAGTAGACATAATGGAGTTGACTAACTGACCTGAGGAAGCGTGACAAATTTGCAGAAATTCCATGTGAAAAACCGATATCTTCCTCTGAAGGAACTTTGGGTAAGCTTTTCTATCGGATTTAAACTCTTTTGGATAAACTGAACCTTCTTTATAGAAAGTTGAATACTTTATCAATTTAGCAATTGTTTTATTTACTCCTCTTTGTTGTGTTCCTTGAATGTGTAATGTGTTTATGTTATATTGTTAAATGATTATTTGACTTAATTTGGTTTCCCTTTCCAATAAAATACTCCTCCCATTCCAATTTTTCTTCCCATTTAGAACCCGTTTGATAACACTAAAATTGGCTGAATAATTTGCTATCAAGCTCTTTAAACCCTCTTCCCCTCTAACCCCCTCCCCCATTTGACCTATGATGGATGACTTAGGATAACTAACAAGATAAATATCTACACAAGAAATGAATTCAATAACTGATAATATATTTATGTTCTTAAAGAAATTAGAATCTTTAGGCTAATTCCAGTGATCAATGCGTTGTGCTGATAGTAAAACTTAGTTGTATTTTCCTTGTTCTGAAACTCCCCGCTTAGGCACTAGAGTTCACTTGGTCCTGTACTTTTTCCCTGACTTTACCCCGCCTGATCATATTTATGCTTTACTGCGGTTAACTCCTTTGTCTAGCTCTTTTTAGAACAGTGCAATTGCATCATTCCATTCCCATTCTTTGGGTGTTGAGCCTAAGAAACATATTGTAGAATAACCGTTTAACCACACACTATACTGCCTTCTGCTCTTCCATTACCTCAATTCTTGTTAATGCTGCTTTCTGATTGTCCATTTCGATAGTCTGTCATAAATTAGTACCATCACCCTGGATTTTATATGGCGACTAGCTGGTTATATTCATTTTAAGACTCCATATGTTTATTTCATTTGCCTGATACATGGAAAACAGATTTTCTTAAAAAGTTTTTCCTGTGTTTGTAACTCGGGAAAAGACAATTAAGTCGATGTTTGGAGCTCATAAGTTGGTAAAAGAAAGGGAGGGGGGAACAAAGGAAAATGTCTTTTGATGTTTGGTTTTACCTCGGAGAATATGAATAGAAAATAGTACACGAGTTTAGATTTATTAGCCTTTACATAATTAAAAAAACATTTCTTGGATTTCGTTTTGTTGATAAAATTTATATATACGGAGTATTATATTACAGATAGAAGTATAGAACGAACTGTTTTCTATTCCAGGAAATTGTTTTGGACAAAAACATTATTTACAAGTTATTCTCCCTGCAAGAAACTAGCCTTAGTGTAATTTCTTAGATTCCAGTGTCCAAAAAAATTATGCATTCATGTTTGTTTGGACTTGAAAAATTATTAGATAGCATTTGATGTGACTTGAAGGACGATGGGGTATACTGTTTGCTGAGAGTATGTGAATTGATATTATTTGAATAATGGAAGGAATGAAGCATAATCCATTTTTTTTGGATGTCCCTCCCTTCATATTTTATCTTTCACACGATTCCATTATAAAATATTCCACCATTTTCCCTTTGGTAGTGTATATGACACGTTTCTGGAATTAGCTAAGTCTATAATTAAGTCCTAGAAAATGCTAGGGAAAAAAAGACAAATGCTCAGTAGTATATAGTATATACCTAGATTTTTCATCTTACATAAATAAAACAAGTATCAACAAATATCTCAAATATAATTATTGCCTTTTAGCCTATCCCCCCCTCATACATTTTCCGAGTTTCAAACGAACTCCACAGGTGCATTTTGAACGTGAAAAATACTAGGAAAGAAAATAGGTAGGAAATCTCAATAAATTAATTTTAGATATTTGTTTCCACTCTGTTTATTTATTTATATCTATTATACTGATACCTCTTAAAATTTTTTAAAGGCATTTTGATTCCTTTACCTAGCATTTTCCAAGATCTAAACATACTAAATGTGTTTTAAGACTGTGATGCCCATCTCTAATAGCCGCTTATGCTTTTGACATTACAACGGTTAAACTTTTAAGAATGCCCCCAACTGTCAAAACCCTAGTTGAACTCTAGGAAAACAACAGAGAAATGCTTGTGGTATGCCTCTACTAAAATTTTAATGTGTATGTAAATACGCCTACTCATAAAGTTAGGATAAATGGCGCAAAGTTGATGTTGATCATTTCGTGTATAACAGCATCGTCTCTACCAGCTTTGAATGTTGATGAACCAGTCTACGTCGATGAGCAAAGTGAGGAGCTAAAGCAGTCACAATTTGAGTCTGTAGGTATATGTAGATACTATGGACATCTCTCAGTTTATTGTATTCTTAATTTGAAACCAAAGCACAAAACATGTGTTAAAGATATACTATGTATATCTTTCTTTCTCAACAGTTTTTTTTTGTTACTTTCTTTGATCAGCTTTGTCAAGTGAAATTCGTGAGGCTTTAAGAAGTGTGGAGATTCAGAAACTTATATGCAGCATAGATTCCTCTAAAGATGCCGAGTCTGTAAGTACTATAAAGCTCTTCTCAATGCAGCTATTCGATTTTTGCTTTTCCATTAGTTATCTGAGAAACGCTCAACCCATAGGAACTCGAAAAAGCGATGCAAAAGGAAGAGTTTCATATGCTTAGTCAGAAGGTATTACTTCCTTTTTGAATCAAAGTTTCTAATGGCTCCCAATCAGCTTTCTGGATACACATGTTGGTATTTCATGGTACACAACACAACTAATTAGCCCTGGTGAAATGTCAATGTGCAGATCCTATCCGCCATTAATCCTTGATGCCTAGCTCCTAAGCATGTTCTGGATTGTAACTTATGTGCTGCTGTGCAAGATTTAAGCTGCTTTTAGAATGACGATGATGCGAGAACTGTATAAAACAGAATATTTTATGATCTTTGCTCCTCAAAAAGTTAGTCTGCACATTAGTGTTCTTTCTCAAGTACTTCTCCATTTTTGTGTGATGTATTGATGTGTGATGTTTGTTTTTTTAAATAAAAAATAAATTATAGCTAAAGGGTGTGTTTGGATTTTGAAAATGCTATGGAATTGAACGAAAGTGGCTGAAGTAGGTGATGTTATTATGTTTTAAAAGAAATATTGAGCAATATAACTAAAACAAAGATATTGGGCAAAAATGTAACTTTTTATGTGTAGTGGGTATTTTATGGATTTTAAATGACCATGGATTTTGAAATCCGAGGGAATCTACAAGATTGTGGTGGATTGTTTTTGTATGTAGAATTCCATCAAAATCCATTAAAATCCATCCAAATTAGTAACAATAGAAATACATGGAATGTTTGAGGACACCCTTATTTTCATGAATTCCACAGAAATCCAAATCGGGGACACCTGGATTTTGACGGATTTCTAAACTCCATTAAAATCCAACAGAATCCGAATCCGGGACATCCCCTAATGTGGAGTAACTTTTAGTGTGGAGTAACTTTTAGTGCTTATGATAATGTTTAAATTTTAGTGTAATGGTTATGATAGTCGTATTGTAACTAGTCACATTGTTGTCTACAAACTTTTTTCCGGTAATATTTTTGGAAAAATCATTTTAAAACCATTTTTATAAATTTTGACTTTTTAATCTTTTATATTAATAGAAACAAATAATAAAAGAGTTTGGACAAATTGTTTATACGTCGTATTGTAGAAACAAAGAAACCTTTTCGAAGAGTTTGCACAAACATCAACAATGTTATCACAAATTTGGATTTCTTTAGATAATGAAAAGAGTTTGCACAAATATTATATACATAATAATACTTTAATAGTCATGTTCCACGCATTCTAAAACTATCAAGTTTGAACTTTGAACCAATAGTTGTGTTCCAAGTTTTCTTTCCTACCAAAATTTGCTTACATGTTCATACATATTTTCTTTCCTTGACATTTTTGGGATTACAAACGTACACTCAACGGCTCCTTACATAATACAGAATGAACATTTTGCTTCTTTGAATTTACATAGTCTTGTCCATTAATAAGCAGTTATTGTCAAACGATTGCCTCAGTTCAATTGGTAACTGAAAACAATCAGAAATAATTCCATTAATTAACTGAAAATCACAATGAAGATTGGTTTACTAATTACAAGTTAGCTGTAAGCTTCATCTGTATGAAATATGCCAGATGTGTCTGCAATTCTGCATTGTGTTCCTCTTTTTGTTTACACTACAAAATTTAGTTTGGGAAGACGCCTCTTACATAAACTATCCACATGGAATTCAGCCTGCAAATGCAGAGATATATTTAAACATCAATATTCAGCCAAATAGGGAATGATTTATTTGTACCACAAAATTCCCATGTCCATTCTTAATCAGGACTGCAAGAAGAGGAAGTTTAATTACCATATTGATGGTTTGTCGAGTTATTAACATCTTTGCTGCTGCTAGCTAGCTTGTTAATATGATGTTCCATCTTCTGATGAGTAAAGAGCTAGTGAGTAAAAAACTCAAAGGGATAAAGAAACCAAATATGATGTATGTACCCTTATTAGGGGTGACCCAGGCATTATTCAAGAACCAGAAGGCTCTTTAATAACCGGAATTGACTCGAGAACTGTAACTGGACTGAGTATACCCCCATTAGAGTTACAGTTCTAGACCGGGTCCCTCCCTAATGAGCATATACCAACTTACCGGTTGATGTGTGACTTGGCTGTGGTGAAGACCAAGCTGATAATGTTGGTATGCATCTGTGGGGGGAATCGGGAAAGGCGATTGGTTAGAATTATTATGAGGGACAAGCGAGTTTAGCATAGGATCTGGTGGTGGCTGGCTAGGAGCTGGAATTCTTGAGGGATCAGGAACCGGAAAGGGAGGAGGCATGGGAAAAGTGGGCATAGGGAATCTTGGACCCAAAGATGTAGCAGGGGAAGGGTTTGGCATGGAGGAAGTTGGAAGAACAGTTGGGTACGGTCCAACCTGTGGGTTCATTCCCATCCCCATCCCAAGACTCATTGCAGCAGGCATGTACTGCTGGAATCCGGGGTACATCATTGGCATCATTCCACATCCATGGCTCATCGACATCATCTGTTAAACAACATTTGTTCTTTCAGGATCAGAATCCTTAGGGGTTTGATAGGAAATCGGAACACCCACAGACCACAGTGATAGGAAATTGAATAATGAAGAAATGATTTATGTTTTGTTTGGTTTTAACTTAAAAATGCAAAGGTTAACAACATGTGAGTACTTTTTAAAACCTATTTTGAAGTAGAGTTGAGTAGTTGGTATCCAATTTGTAAAATTTCGAAGATCTGAACTGCATAAATATAACCAATAAAAACACTTAAAAAGTGGTTAAAGTAGAAAAATGAGGCAAATATAGCAGGAGGATTGATATGTATGAAAGTAAAAAGAGCATTGGTAAATACAATATCAAACATTTATTCATTGATTTTGTAATAGATCTTATTTACCCCACATATTTCTTATTTATACCACCATTGAATGTGAACTCAAGAGAAAAAATCTTTGTGAAATCCAAGAATTGTCCTATACGAGTACGGAGTATTAGATAACTACATGTAGATACTGCATTGAGGGTCCTGGGTCCAAATCACATTATATTGCATCATATGCTGGAATGATTAAAACAGAGTTATTCGAAATGGGTAGATTTCGGGCAACGAAACATTTTTTACCACGGAGGGTGAATGAAATGCAGAACTGTAAAGCAAAAAGAGAAAGAGCATAACCACCTTCTTTGCAACGAAAAATACCTGCACTTGCAACTGTAATGATTTTAAATACTCGATAGCTTCATCCAACATTGAAGCTTTGTCTGACTGAATTCAAAAAAGAGCCATCAGAAATCAGAATAACTTCAGTATACACAAAGGAAGGAGGATGAAATGATGAATGAATCATACAATAGTTCACTTGTACGGAAGAATAAAAACCAACCTTGTTGCAACGTGGAATTAGTTCTTGCAGAGCTTTCATTTTCTCGTTGATCCTATCTCGACGCCTCTGCATTATCATTGTATAGCTTAGCATTGAGAAATGATATCATTAAACGAAAGCATGAAGAAAGTTTCCTTCATCACAAGATGCATAATTATTCCTATACGTACCCTTTCGGATAGATTATGGACCTCTGCAGCACGAGATCGCTTGGTCGATCCAGAAGCACGGGATTGCTTCTTTGCATCAGCAGATGCTGATTCAGCCTCCTATGGTAATACATATCAATTTATTAAAAAAACAATAACCAACTAGCAACTAGCAAGATTCTGTTTAAAAAAAAGCAACTAGCAAGAATTATATTTTACTGCTTTAAATTATGCATGTCTAATCCGGATTTTTTAAAAAGTGAAACATGTTTATGGTATGCTTTTTACTGTGCCAATTTCCAAATGATAACTTACCCTCTGCTTCTCTTAAGACCGTGTCATTTTCTTATATTGTTTGGTTAGTTATGTTAAACCTTTATCAATGACAATATGTAAAACTAATAAAAGTGACATGATTTTTTTTTTCTGAATTAAGCCGTGGCCTGAAATTGTTGAGAACGGAAAGATTTGCCCGCAAGGCATTTATTGTGGGGTCGCATGGATTTATAACGTCAACTACGTAGTAAAAAATTGACAAGTTCAACGAGATTTAGAACTATCCTCTCTAAATAAACTTCCAACTTTCTTTTTTCGTCCGTCCCAATTAAAACTTCCACTTTCCTCTTTTAGTAAATAATTTATGGTTCACAACATTTCTTACACATTCTCTCTCATCTGCACAATTCTCCACCACACAATATTCACTATCTTAAACTATGTGTCCAACCTATTCGGAAGTTTTATTAGGGATGGAGGTAGTACGTAGTGTCTCATACTCTATGTAGCACCGATACGGGTACGCGGAAACGCGGATACGGGTACGGGGATACGACAAAACCAAAAAAAGTAGGATACGGATACGGAGCCATATTTATAAATATTAAAAGTTATAGGGTGTATTTATAAATATTACTCCCTCCGTCCCGCTATGATTGTCCCATTTTACCATTTTGGTCCGTCCCACTAAGATTGTCTCATATTTTATTTGGTAAAGTTTGTGTGATTCTAAATCATTCATACTTTAATCTTACTTTATCAATTCAATATCAACCACATTAACCCACTTGTATTAATAACCGTGCCACCTTCTCTTGTTCCAAACTTAGGGGGATGGATGTAGTAAAAGTTACAAGGATGTATTTATAAATATTAAAAATACAATTTTTTGAAAAAAAATGGACATGTATTATTCTCTGATGCTTACTCATTCATGGCATTGAAGCATTTTACATTTTCAAGATACTTAGAAATAAGTTCATATTTTATCTCATATACACTAGTGCACCTTGAAATATAAATATTGTCAACAAATCATTAATCTAAAATGAGAAATAAGTCAAACAACCATAGTTTTGATATTAAAAGTGCAAGTACTTAAAGTTCTAGAATAATGAAGATAGAAAAAATATTTTAAAAGTTTTAATACATATTTCCGTTGGAGTTATTAATTTACAGGGATAATTAAAATTAGGGATAGGAGAATGAGTGAATTAAAAATAAGCCCATTAATTGTGTACCGCATAAAAGCAAGGTAAACATTATTTTTAGCTTTTCATTTTTAAGAATTTTATTATGTGAATTTGGAGTATTTTTTAAAAAAGTTTTGTTTTGGAAGTTTTTTTTTTAAAAAAAAGTTGATACGGGTATCCGTCAGGATACGCGTATCCAAAATTTTAAAATAATTATCAAAAAATGGAAACTTTTAAAAATTGCAGCTACGACCCCGGTACGTATGGTACGAGTATCCTAGTGTATCAGATACGGGAACGTTTTCGATACACCGACACGGCACCCAAGTGAAGTATCCGTGCTTCATAGCTCATACTTCTTGTGTTCTTTAATATTGCACTTTGATTTTATTTTATTCATATTATCATAAAAATTGTATTATAAAACATGTGTAGTATTTTGTCTGAGAAGTAAAGTTTTAAAATATGATTTTTATACGGAGTAATTTTTAATAATAGTCAATTAAAGATACTAACAATTAAAATTGTGTTCTCTTAAAACGTAAAAGTCAAATGTCTTGGAATTAAGTAAGAATGAGTGAATTGACACTTATGGAGTTGTAGCCTTGTAGGTCTTAAAAAATATACAAGGATAAAACTTGAGTAAATGAGATGTACACTTCCTATATGATACGGAGTAGTTGTATTAACTAAGGTATAAATATTTGTGACTGAGAATTGAGGTATTCAAATTAAACGATCAACTCATAATAATTCTCAACTACTAGCCATACTCCCACAACTACCCATGGCAATCATTCGTCTCACTTCCAATCTCATTCTCCCACAATTTCACGCCCATCCAAAAATGCTCGTCAATTTCATAATCTATTCTTCGTACTCTTTTGTTATTACTTTTAAATTTATTTCTGAATACAACTCCAGACAAATTCACTGTCACCACTCACCAGATATGGACTCTTGAAAATTGATTAGCCTTCGGACTTTTGTTTCGCTAGAGTAATAGTGTGTCCCTTATTCCCGGATACGCAAATCTTTGGTATCTTAAAAAGTAATTACCATCACTAATTGCGTTTTTAGAGAATCTCCAATGCTATAATGTGCACCGGCATGGGTGATAGCCACATAAATATTAGCATATAAATTATCTCTCTCCTTATTGGAATGACTTTATACAATTTTGGTAAGTTTTCCCCTGCAATGTCAATAACAATGTTAACATCTAGACGGTCACCTTGACATTGTAGAGAAAAACTTACCAAAACTGTATAAAATCATTCAAATAAGAAGAGAAAGAATTTATTTACTAATATTTATGTGGTCATTTCTCATGCTACGTGTGCACCGTGCACATTTTACCATTAGAGATACTCTTAATAATAAGATTAATTATGGGCCATAACTGGGGCCACTTTCCTGCTTGGCTAGAGGTCTGCTCGTAATTGTGTACCGTTAGATACTTAGATGTAATGTAAAAATCTGGCCATCTGCAAAATAAGTGATAAAACCAGTCCCATTTAATGTGACATTTGCTAAATTTCGGATCGGACGATTCCAAAAAAAAAAGGATGACACCCCATCCCTGAGGGCCCCCCAACACCGACCGGACGGCACGATGGGAGGATGTAAATTGGAATATAATCACAATCTGACAGATAGAGAGTGGGGCTCTGTCCCCGTATTTGCAGAGGCCCTATGCATTTTTCAGCATAGTAACCCCTCATCGCAGTTGCCAGGATTAGAACCCGAGACCTAACCCTTGTGGCACTCCCTTGCTACCAGTTGAGCTACGCCCACCGGTAAACTAAGGTATGGGTAAACTTTTTATAGTGACTAGCTCCACCGCTTTCACGGCCCCTTACCCCAGAAACCCAACTTTGGCTTGGCTCTACGGGTTAGTATACACCGCTTGGCCCTACCACTTGAAGGGTTTTTTGGGGGAGCATAGTTCCACTAGTGCTAGTGGGACTCGAACACGAGACCTCTCATATGCAAGGATAACCTTACAACCAGCTAGGCTGGAAGTGGTGGTTGGATCGGACGATTCCAGAGTACAAGTAGGGGTGAACTTGGCCGATTTTGGATGGTAGGTTCCTCACCCCCCAACAATCATACTCCCTCCGTCCCTAATAAGTTTGCCAAGTTTGACCGACACGGAGATTAATAAAGTAAAAACTGTGTGGTTAGGGTTTGTGCAGAGGAGAGAGAATTAACTAGAACCACAAATTATTTACTTAAAAGGGAAAGTGGCAAAGTTAATGGGACATCCAAATAAGGAAAGTTGTCAAAGTTATAAGGGACGGAGGGAGTAACTATTACCAATTACTACCTCCCTCCCATTTATATTGGGACGGAAGAGAGTGACACGATTATTAAAAAAAATGGGTTTGTGTGGTTGATATTAATTGATAAAGTTAGAATAAAGTAAGAATGATTTAAAGCCACACAAAATTTGCCAAATATGGTATGAGACAATTTCAGTGGGACTTCCCGAAAAGGTAAAACGAGACAATATAAATGAGACGGAGGGAGTATATTGTTTGTGGCCTATTTTTTACATTTCGGGTAGTTTGACTAGTTTTTTACATTTTATTACAATTTACAACTTATACGGTGTGTCGATGTATTGCATTTAAAAAAATATTATTCTCTTATTTTGTTACACTAGATTACTTTTGTCCTAAATTAATGTGTTATTTTTTGCACAGATATTAGTATTGTTGAGGAAGGGTAGAATGTGTGGTTGAGATTTGAGTGAGAAGTATTGAAATCATGTGAACCACATATTTTTATCAAAAAAGGAAACATAACAATTATTTTTAAAAAGTGAAGTGTAATACGGAGTACGGAGTATTACGTATTTTTACAATATACATTATTATAATTACTTTATATTATTATTATTATTATTATTATTATTATTATTATTATTATTATTATATATATATATAGCTACAATTATAAATATTACACTATTGCAATAATCTACACAATATACTTGTATACACATATATCATATCCTCACATCTCTAGAGTCGTCCTATCCAAAATACATACTTGTTCCGGTCACACGTATATAAAATTGCATTTGGGTTGAACTAGTTTCGATCCTCAGAAACAGTGGAACCGTGTCCACCCATTGATACAATCACTATGCTTGTCGCCATGAAAAGCAACAAATTGGAATTCCTTTTCGGAAGAAGAAGTGACCACAGTCATATGGAGTTTCACCAACCAATTGTTGACAAATTAGAAGTGTTTTGGGTTTTTATTGACTATTTAACAAAGAACTCATGACTTATACGTGTTTGCTTCCAAGGAAACACGAGTGTTACACGACGGTCATTATTTTTTATTTTCAACCAAATTAAAAAGTCAATGTGCCGAACCACACGACGGTCATTATTTTATATTTTCAACCAAATAAAAGAAAAGTTAATGTGCCCAACCTTTCAAATATTAATGGTGCCATAGAAATTTCTGACAAAGTAAATGAGAAATGTTCGGAACTATTGAATGACTTTTTAAGAATATAATAAAATACTCTCTTGTATCCCCTTATATGTGGCTGTTTTATTATGCCAATAAATAAATTTGTCCAAAATGTGACATCCCAAAACGCCAACTATGAGAAACATACTGATATTATTGTAAAGTTTTTTTATGAAGATATTATTGTAAAGTTGATATTGAAAATAAGCTAATTAATATTTGGTGTAGTTTTAATTTGCACAGTAAAGTGAAAACACATGAGCACTTTTTTGAAAATTTTAATATAGATAATTCATACAATTACATTTATAGGACCATTATAGGATCGGACTTCGGGAAGGCATTATTTATGCTAACTTAACAAGAGGGTAATTGGGTAAAGAACAAATGGATCGACGAATTGAAGTACGTCTAAGGGAGTGTTTGCAACTGCTTAAAAAAAAGCACTTCTCAACTTTTGGCTTTAAAAAGCACTTATTTACCAAACACTATCAATTTTTACTTTTTCTCGACTTGCGTGTGAAAAGTGCTTTTCTCTTTTCTATTACATAAAAAGCACTTATTTTACCAAACACTACCAACTTTTACTACTAATCCACTTTTTTCTTACATCTCCAAAAGTGCTTTTTTTAAGCAGAAGCAGTTGCAAACACTCCCTAAGTATTATCATGGTGTGTGAAATTAGAGCCATTAGACGATGTAATGGATGGATATATTCACAACGTCGAGATAGACATGAATCTGCCCGACTAATAAGAGTGGTTGGATGATCAATTTGGACGGTGTAAATAAGCCAGGTACGGTACTTGGCTTTGTTCTTCAGGGTCCCACCATATGGTTCAAATTATTTGTAGAATTGAAATTCAACATTAAATCCATAGTAGTACGTAATTTTGTTAGTGCATGGCACTTTCTCATTCACATATATAGTTGGAGGCAGTACTCAAGTACATTCCCAGCCCTCATGAATGTTCGAAATTATTGTTTTCACCGTATTTTTCAATTGTGAACACAGTTTATTTTATTCTTTAATTTTAGTATAGATTTGTATCAGTGGAGGACCTAGGGGCTAGTGCACTCCGGATAAAAAGGAGTGCCCCAACCTCATACTAGTATTTGATAATTAAGATACTAAAATGTTACAATTATATAAATAAAAAATTAATACAAATATTTAAATTTTAGTTGAATTAAAATAAAAGATATAGAATTATAAAAAACAAAAATAATTAATAATTGAAAACAAAAAGTAACAAAAAAATTTAAAATGCAAAAAAGTAGCCAATGTGCAGGCAACTAAAAGTACAGAGTATTAAAAGTCTAAAAACCCACTAACATTTGGAAGACTAGAATGATAAAAACCGAAGTTCTCCAATTTCTGCCAATCAAAGCTCGGAGTTATATTCATGCGATTTTTCATTTGTTGATCGAATGGAGCGGAAAGAGCAACTCCAGGTGTGGATATATGAAATGAGACCAAATGCGTTATTTTCTGCCGTACAAAAACTATTGGTGAAGTTTGTAAGAAGATGGTTGAGCTTAAAGTTCACAATTCTTTTCACTTGGTATATTATCTGATTGAGTTGGCTTTAGTGTTACCAGTTGCAACGGCCACCGTTGAAAGAGTCTTTTTTGCGATGAATATTATCAAGATAGATCTTCGCAATAAGATGAGAGGTGACCATCTTACGGATTGTTTGGACAACATCAAGAGAGATGTTTTTAGAAGCATCAATAATGAAACTATTATGCAACATTTTTAGAATATGAAAAAACTCGTAGGCTATTTAATATGTAATTAACTATTGTGTATAATTTAATACATTTTTTTATTATTTTTATTACATTTGGAGTTTTTATTATAGACTAACTTTGGTGTCTAGTGTTCCACGCTCTCACAAATCTCTGGGTCTGCCACCGATTTATCTAAACTTTTGAACACCGTATAATCTTTAGTGTATGTTTTTAGATTCTATGAAACTTTTACTAAAGTTTTCGTATATAAATATATACTACGTATAAATTTCCATTACTATCACTTAATGTAGATTTTTTTGCCACTTTTAGTCCTCCAACTATTATGTCATTGACATTTTTGGTACTTGAATTTTATTTTTTGAACTTTTAGGTGCTCAACTATTGTTCTAGAGACACTTTTCATACTCGTCTTTCAAAACTTCCATATTTAGTCCCCTGACTTTCCTAAAAGTGACATTTTTGGACTTTGGTCCTTCAACTATTATAATAATGACATTTATAGTCCTCCATTTATTGGGATAAAATCATAGTGGAAGGACTAAAAGTGTCACTTTGATAATGCTCAGGGGATTAAATGTGAAAAACTTTGAAGTCGAGGACTAAAAGCGTCCTTAGCACAATAGTCGAGGACTAAAATTGGAAAATTAAAAGTCGAGTACAAAAAGTGTCAATGACACAATAGTCGTGGGACCGAAAATGGCAAAAACTCCACTTAACTTGAATTAGTAGGTCAAAACAATTTTTAGGCTCGGACAACCCCGTAAATCATTTTTTGCAAAAACAATTTGGAACGTATGAAATATCATCAATTTATCATACTTTCCTATTACTAAAAGATTGAGTATATTGTTTGTAGGTACTAATGGACAAAGTTCCATTACCAATTTCAAACACGATGTATGACACAAACAATAGTCAAATTAAGATTTTATAATTGCTATTGAATATGTAAAAATAGTGATGATTGTGCTAGAAAATATAACACGATTTGGGACACACATTTAGAACGACAAATTTGGGATGAACATTTGGGATAAATAGATAAATAAGGGTTTAGTATGTGCTTGACATTTAGCAATTAATGGATTATGTTAGCAGATTATGAAGAGTGGATTCAATAAGCGGGTTTGACTAGTGGAATAAGTTGGCGGGTTGGCGGAAAATGTTTGATAATTTAGTTATTTAATAATAACAATTAGTAGAAAATGTCATATTTCAAAATTCTAACTTAAAACTCTCTTATTTGCAGCGTTTTCATTTGAGCGATTTTGTCTAAAAACGCTAGAACCAAAAAACTACTTATCGAACAACGTTTTCTAAAAAGTATCAAACCAGCATATATTTTTTTTTGACAAAAACGTCATTTTTTAAACAACCTTAATAGCAAATTCAAAGTAAAACTTTGGTGAAACGTTTGATTTTTTTAATGCATCAGAAAGGAAGGTGAAACGTTTGATAATGGATAGCATGGAGTATAATAAAGGATTCCCAGAATAAACTAATGTGCTAAGATGTCCCTATCCTTGAAAAAAATTATTCCGGCTTTTATGCATTGCAAACATTTCGTTCCTTTTCGGCGTAAGATTGGAGTGGGAAGTAAAGTGACTATATAAGTGAGCTTACTTTTGGTCAAAATCTTTCGTATAATCATGGCGGGAGAGGAACAATTATCCAACTGCATAACGACAGTTTGAAGAGCTACTGCGGTAGGGTCGTAATATTATTAGGGAGTAATTATTGATTAATTATTGACAGAAAGGCAAGCTGGCGCACGATAGCCAGCCGGTGCGCGACATGACTAACGAAAACGGAAAGAGGAAAAGAGGAAAAGAGGAGCAAAAACTGCTTACCGCGTTATGGCCCTCCTCGTCCGTTTCCCTTGCTTTGCGCTTCCGATCCTCCGCCACCGGAGCTATTGACTTCTCTTCGCTGACACTGGCGCCGGAGTTTCCCGGCGACGTCGTCAAACTCAATTCACACGTTCCCGTTCCCTTTCCTCCGTTTGATGTTCTAGCAGCTTCCATCCCGCATCCTACATTGCCGCCGGCAATCTGCGCTGCTCTGTCCGCTACCCGTGAAACTCTGTATTCTCTCCCTACCATCGGAGTCTCATTGGACTCCACAACCGTCGAGTCTCTCGACGTTCCGGCTCTGAAATTCGGGCGAGCCAATCGCGGTAGGTTTCCCAAGTTCTGGAAACGCGACGCGCTTTCCGGTTCTGTTCGCCTTCCGGGAGGTATAGGCGGCCGAGGAGCGTCGGCAGATAACTGAGGAGCCGGCGGATGTCGGATCTGAGACGCGGATGGTCTCCCGTCCCGCGGTGGCGGCGCAGCTGAAGCTGCCGGATACAGTAGATCGGCTCCGAGATACCGGTCGATAGGATACTCAACCAGAGGACATTGAAGCCAAGCCGCCATCTCATCCTCCTGCATGAACAGATGCTGAGGCGCTGGCATTTCATCCACCGCCGCTGATCTGACGTCGCCGGCGGGAGGAAGCGGAATCGTCGCATCGCTGCCGCCGAACGGAGTCGGTTTTTTAACAGATCTCTGGTTTTGAGCGTGCACCACCACTACCTGACCGTTCTGCCACAATAACTCCATGATTTCCTCTTCTGCCCTGCAAAAACACAGCCCCATGGCCATCACAAATAAGCTTCAACCGCAAACTCAGAAAGCAAGTTAGAAAAGGAGGAGAAAACGGAATCAAATTACACTGCAGACTTCTTAGTATTTCCAGAAACATTCGGCTGCGGAACAACGGGAAGAGGGGAGCAGTAGTCCTCATCGATCTCGAAATCCGGAATCGCGCATTGATCCATGATAGCTTCTCAAAATCCAAAATGCAGGTTCGATTCAATCCGAAACTTACCTCACATAAAAGAACAAATAGAAGTTCGGCAATGGCGGATTGAGTTGTGGAATTGATGATAGATAAGTGGTGGTGGAGGAAGGAGTTGGCTTAGCTCAGCTTAGGGCAGTGTATGGCTGATGTAAGGACACAGAGGTTGTGGTTGCTGGTTGAGTGGATCCGGGTCGGATCCGGGGAATAAATTTGGCCATGGAAAGGACGAAAATGATTTTTGAGGACATGTATGCAATGTATAATGTGAATATTTATGTCAAAAAACACATTTCCCTACACCTTCCAATCACCAGCTTATCATCACCACCTACCTTTAAATTTCCATCTCCAACTTGACAACTTTCATGGCCAATCAGCATCTTTAATTTATTATTCACCTTCTCTCTCGATGCTAGTAAATACAGAACTCCGTATTTACTATATATATAGATAACTATGTTTCAGGTCCAGCCACCACATCTTCTTTTGATGTAGGAATGGAAGGCTCCACCGGAGTTTCATTAACATCTTTTGGGATAGTAAGAATTAACTTTTTACAGTGAGTTCAGAGTCATTGTTGTGATTTACTGCTCCCAATATAAGAGGACCTTTTTATATTTAATTTGTCTCGTTTGAAGTCTTAGATTTATTTTTGTTTTGTTGTTACATAATTGTGTCAAATTTGGAGGTCTTGCCGGGTTTTAGAATGAGGAGTAGAGATCTGCATAACTTTTTGAAAATGACATTAATTTGTACATTTTCTATGCACATTATAAATACTCTCTTATTCATGGTAGTTTCTATGTACCCATAAGGTATCATATCTTTGTCCATATGGACCAATGAAAAGGTAGCATTTGAATTATTTAAATCTAAATTAAAATTGATAAAGTGATGTGGTCCAATTAAATGAATCCTAGGTACGGTACCCCTGTTTTTAGAAAGGTACCGGAGTTGTCACCCTTATTCATTAGTGCAAAGAGGTAGGTCTGACCGACAAATGTGTACAAAAGGTGTAATTCTTTGTTTACGCAAAGCATTATCAATAAATAATTAAATATAGCATGTATTTTTAGAATCCAGGTAAATATATGTTTTCTTTACATCTTTGTATAGTACTCTATGTTTAATAGGGTTCTTTAGATCTTTGTATAGTATACTTTATCTTTAATAGGGTTTGGGTTGGGATTGATCGGGCCCTATACAAACTAAATTAACTAATGGTTTGTTCGTGTCGGCCTACATTTTACTAATAGAGTTGGACCTATATGGGCTTAAAGGAAAAATATAAAAATTGCTACGTAGTACTCCGTATATTACGTCGTACAATATCCAATGTAATCAACTAAGTGAAAAGAGTTCAGTATTCGAAAAAATGTAAACATAAAAGAAAAGTTCAAACTTATACTATCCTCCGTCTCTTTTTAGGGTTTTGTCTTGAATATTACTGATAAAAGCGTAATAGGCAAAGAAATGATATTTTTTAAAAATTCCTGAAATGTGACTAATAAGTAATAAGTGACAAGCTTGCTTATATACACACTGCTACAGTGACACGCTCTAGTGACACGAGACACAGTGACATCCACCCTCCTTGCCACCACCTCCCACCGGTGACCATCGCCACCGCTGGAGACCGTCATCGGCCATAGTGACAACGACCACAGTGACACAATAGTGACGCTGTTACTGCCTAGTGACAATGATTTTTCAGTGACGCCACCCGCCAAAAGTTACTCCGGCTGATACCGCCGCCATGTCACAGCCACCGAGTCACTGTCGCTGCCGCGCCCGAATTGTCACCGCCACCGAGGGCGGCCACAATGACATCTCCGCAGTGACATACCCGCCCCAAATTCTGACTATAGTGACACGAATACATTGACATCTACCACTACCTCCACCCCGTGACAGTCGCCGCCACAGTGACGTCACCATAGTGACGCCGCCCACCAGAAGATACTCCGGCCGCAGGCCGCAGCAACCCTCATCAATGTAACTGCCAGATACTCTACCCAACAACAACACTCTGCCCGATCACATCCACCACCCCTGCCCCCTCCCTTACCCCAAGCCGCCTACTCTAGTCCCTAGCCCCATCCCCTCCCAGCCCCCAGATCTACGCATCAGATCGCTACCCAGCCCGCCCCCTGCACCCACCCCTGCTCTGCCCCCTATTGGTCCTTCAGGTCCCCCTCCTACTTCGAGGACGGTGGATCCGACAAATTCGGGACCCGCTGCGTCAAACCTGAGCCGTCATCCACCGAGGTTGGCGGATCCAGAACCACAAGCGGTCGATCGCTGCCCTCGATGCTCGCCCATCAGATTTAGCCCCCTTATACAACCCTCGAAGCTCGGATTTAGCCCCTTTATAGTCGAAATCGCCCCATTTCCGCTCAGTCAGTGGGAATCATGTCATCCCTGCAACTAGATAGAAATAGAAGGAAGGATGGCCGAAGATGGCGGTGCAGCAGAGAGAACTTGTAGCGGTGGCGCGAGAGGAAGATGGCGAACGTAAGGCGGCGGCCGCGGCATGGTTCGAAGATGCAGAGGCGATGCGGGGAGATGAAGGCTTCGTTCGTTGCTGGGTTTGGAGTCGGCAAAACATATTGCTTTTTAATTTTAAAAATGGTTACTTTTTTGTCCAAATTAAAAAGAGTGATATTATTGTTCACATAAAGTCCATCAGTGATATTTTCGCTATTCTTCCATATTTCCCTCTTTTTAATCGCAACATGTTAGAATTTTACACTATTCACATGTTCTACTTTGACTACATTTTATGCAATTATTTTATGAGAATTATTTTTTAAAAAACATATTGTTCAATTCATCCCATTACAAATTTTCAAAATCTGATTTTTAATTTTTTTTACTAATAGAGATTAAGATATAATTACGGTCAAAGACGTGCGTTGACAAGTGTGAAATGTTGACCGTTGCAACTAAAAAAGAACGGAGGAAGTATATAGCTAAGTTTTTAGCAACGCACTCTTGATTGTTTTAAGAGTGTTGTTGGCAACGCACTATTGATTGTTTCTGTTGACGCTAGTCGGGCGCCAGTCCAGCGCCTAGCGGCTAGGTGGGGGATTAGTCGGGGACTAGTCGAAGACATAGAAATTATAGTTTTATCAATATATTTGCATAAATATGATAAGTAATGTTGTGTTTGTGGGTGTATAAAAACTATATATACACACACATACACATTAACAATTTAACATGCATAAATGATAGAGTTGTAACATCAAATTAAACTTGTATAATTTTTATCTTAATCTACAACTACTAACTTTCTTCATAAGCGTTGTTAAAGTTAAAGGTACATGTATCACTTAGAATACTTAAAATAAAAAAAAATAAAAAAATGTTCAAAGATTCTAGATGCATAGGTGGTCGATTAAGCGCTCTGGGCGGGCAACTAGGCGCCCTAGGCAACCGACTAATTGAACTACGCACCAAATCAATCAGTCGGAGCGCCTAAACTAAAATCGAGACGGCCGGCCACCGCCTAGCACCTAGGCAGGGACTAATCGGGCGTCTGGAACGATTTTTAGAACAGTGATTATAGTTGAGCAACTAGAAATATTAAATTCAAATTCATTCAACTAGTTAAGACTTAAGAATGTAGATAGAATGATATATAGTTTTTGAGAGCCCGTTTGGTAGCCATGTCTTTCGGCTCATCATACTTATCAGTCAACTTTTTCACTAAACGCATAATTTCTAATTTGTGCGTTGAATTGTGTAATAATAAGAAAAAGTAACGTCGAACTTACTTTTATGACTGTATTGACTGAAGTTAATGTAGAAAATCATTTTAGGTGTTTTCACACACACATTATTAAAATTATATTTTAAATTTAATTTTTTCAATCAGAATTTGCCCAACGTCAATGGAATCAATCAATATAGTCGATGGTAGGCTATGAGTCTCCATGTAAACGTCTATTAATTTGGATTTTAAAAGGAATTAATTTCATTCACATCACTCGCTCTCCAAACTTTTCAAATGAATTTGTAAGTTTGTGAACGCCAATGGAATTGAGTTAACAAGTAAGAATAAACGACTATAATCAGTACGTGTAGTACGGATAGAGAAGCAACGATCTTGTTCTTCCGTATTGAATAGAATCGACTTCCCGTAATCCCGTCATAAAGCCACAAAGCTCAAATTCTCACAAATAATTCAAAAGAGGCTTACGCTTGTCAAATTAAACTTTGGCCTTTTTGGTAATGACTATAATGGCTGAAATGATTGCAATGGTCGAAATTGATTAAATTTCTGAAGTATGAGTGTTTGATTATATTTTGGTTGAAGTGGCTGATTGAAGCTGCTTGAATATGTATTTTAAAAAGATTATTTACTTAGTTGTATTTTAAAAATATGTATGTTAACTTTGCTAGTAAAATATTTTTACTAAAATGAGTAAATTAATATTAAAAAGTACACTTTTATTAACTATACTATTATCAAGCTCACATGTAAATAAATAAATAATGGATGATGAAGTATGCATGTAGTACATACGTAGTAGTAAAAAGAGTTAGAGAAGGATAGATATGTCTTTTAATAAGTTAATGGCATAATAATAGAAATCAGCCAAAGAAGTGGGTGTTGGGTTACTTTTTGGGCTGATAATAAAAATCAGACAATTCAAATCAACTCATTTAAGGGGTGTTTGGTGTTTTTTTTTTTGTATATTAAGGCTTATAAGCCCATTTTTGACCCACCAAACGGCCACTTTGTATTGAAAGTTTGAAAGGGAAGTATCTTCTTTTTCCTTTTTACATTTATAGTATGGTTGTATGGAGTTGCTTAGATGACATCTAAACTAATATGAAAAGAAGCTTAAGAAAATCACACTTTGGGCATGTTACACAAATTTATTAATCATTGTCTTTCAATTTGGTAAACGGGCCCCTCAATTCTCTTAATCGTTTTTCATTCGGCCCTCACTCACAAATAGTCTATTTATTACAAAATTTGGTTTCTTTAAGAAAACAGAAAATCATAATCTAAATTTTGTGGTTAGCGAAAAGAAATGAATTGCCATTTAAAATAGATTTGTAATTAAAAAGGGATTACAAACGTTAAATACTTAACTCTTACTCTCTTAGTGTAGTAAATTATGTAAATGGATTATGTGAAGGGGGGCAATTAATACAACACTACCTAAAATTGAAGGGTTGAATGATCACGATTAAAAAGAAATCCAATCGGAACAAAGAAAGCGTAAAGAAACACGACCACGTTATATATTTGAGGATCCAAAATTGCGACTTTGTAGGATGAATTGATGAAAAAATAGTACGGAATATATGAAACGAATTAAATTATCATTTGAAAATTTGGTTAAAGACTTAAAGGGTAATCATATTACGGAGTACATATAATACGAGTAATGTATACTACGTATCCAATTATATCACAAAAGTTATACTCCTAGTAATCCTAGTATGCATCCATATGCGACAAGAACTAAAATACTTGCAAGATACTCTTAATACGTAGTATTATACTATTATTAGGTGCGTACATTTTGCATGTCTCATAATAACAAACGGCAATGGTGCAGTGCTGTGAGCCTAAGAATTTTAATGCACACGCATGGGTTCGATTCGCATTAACCTTAACTTTTACTTGTACAAGTAGCTCAATTGATAAATTGGTGGGAAAATTGGAGAATGATCAAGGATCGAAACTCATATGGATCGTGTGGAACACGAGGGAGGGGCTTGAGTTGGGGATTCAGCCTTTTGTCGAAGAATATAACACCGCATATAACTCACCTAATATGAAGAGTGTCACAAGAAACATGACAAGTCATGAGTTTAACTTCAAGCAGAACTTGAGATGGAACATCATTGTCTTTCCTCCAAGATAAGTGTAAGGATTCTTGGTTGTGATCAGTGTTGGCTCGAACACAATATATAGTTGAATTACTAAGCATGTTGGACAATGGAAAAAACACTTAAATTATCTTTTACAAGAAAAAATATATGAGAATTGAAATAGTTAAAATAATGCTCATCTATAATAATTTAAGTGATTTCACTTAGAAAAGTAACTCTAACATTTTAATTCTAGCTTACATACTAACATAATTAAGCACGTGAAAAAAATACTATTTTGTAACAAAAATTGATGAATAAGATTGATAAAACAAAAACAAAACTACCAAACTAGATCGAAATTTGGGTCTACGTTACAGTTTCTATGTCGCCTTTCACAAAGGTTTTGTTAAGAACGAACTCCCATTCCCACTATACATGGAGGATAGAGCCACCGGCCCACCAATTTCAGGTTTATTATTAATAACTAGCGATTACTCGCGCAAGGCGCGAGAGTGTTTGCCCAATATTAAAATAATGTTGTGTTTTGTAAAAAAATAGTGTTATATATGCAAAATTGTTACGATAGTTTAGTAAATAGTAATGAAATTTTACATATCATATACTACGTATATTTTTAAAAATGTCGGAATAATTATATTCCATCTCAACCAATTATTGTGTGGAAAATATGTGATTATGTGGTTCATCCTTAATCAATATTTTAGAAATACATTAAGAAAATTAATGTAATTAAAATATCATCCAAATATATATAGTTGTGCACAAACCAGTTTTATGAGCAATAAATATTTCACATTCTCCAGTTGTGACAACGGAATTGAAACACATGTCCCACTTTATTAAATAATGAAACGCATGCCTCTATCTAAAAACGACTCAAACCACAAATACATTTTCTGTACTTTTCCCATAAAAGATTACATCTAAGTCACACATTTAGCTATGTAGCATCGACCTTTGATGAAAAATTTGTGTATGTTAGTTCACAGGTGAAATATTTCTTATAATAATCCATGTTGTAACAATACATTTTTCTCCGTAAAATTTATATTAATGCACAAAATTAAATGAAATTTGAATATGTTAAGAAAAAACAATAATTGTGAATTCATAAAAGAATTTCGGATGGAGTATAAACTATAAAGTGAATGTGAAGTTCCGTACATCATTACTGA